CACTCCATATCTTGGTAGCATTAATTTCAAGGGTTTCTATTAACATTTGAAAAGTTTTACTTAGAACTATCAATCAAACTTCTAAATTTTTATATTTGTTGTGTTTCATGATTATTTTCCTGTCTTACTTTTTCATGAAGAATGAATCCTCTGATGTAGTCTATGATTTTTTTGTTGTTGTTTATGGTTTTTGTTTTTGCTTTTCAAGACAGAGTTCTCTGTGTAGCCTTAGTTGTCCTGGAACTAGCTCTGTAGACCAGACTGGCCTCGAACTCACAGAGATCCATCTGCCTCTTGAGTGCCACCACTGCCCAGCTAGTCTGTGATTTTTTTAGATGGCATTTGTGTTTTATTTCAAGTAGAGTGATGATAAAGTAACCCTACAGCTGCCTGTTTGTAACCTCCTGTCTCTGCTTCATTTTGAGTTTATTCCAGGGTAACGTGTGCAGTGAGCCTCCAACCTTATGTGCAGAGAGTTGTCAAGTGTCCCTGACCCTAGTCATTTAATGATCTTTGACTTTCCCTTCCCACTTGACAATGCATCTGATCGTCTGCCATAATCAGCTCCCTTTTGTTATGACTGGATAATGGGCTCCAATGTCCCGAAGGGGGCCTAGGCTCAATCCTCATCTTCAGAAATTCTGATCACAATCTTATTTAAAAGCTTTATTCAGGAACTTGAGGGTTAGTCTGTGTGATTCAAAGGTTTAGTGGGTTACACGCAATTGCTAAATTGCCCAGAAGAGGTGACACAGCTGCTGCGTACCAATGTCTTTAACTTTCCATCTGTGTACATCTTCTTTGGATTCCTTCTCCAGAGTCTTAACTCCTTGTCACACTTTCTTCCATGCATTGTCTTTTCTTTGTTTACTGTTTCAAAGACAGATTGTCTTGTTTGGGGCTTTCTTGTTTGTTTGTTTAATTCATTCAGTCAAATAGAGCATGGAGGGCATTTGGTATTTTGATTTTCCCCACTGTCTTTTAGCTGGTGGTTATCTGATCAAACTCTGAGGGAAGGGTACCTGATGAGCTAGCTGGGTGTTTTGAAGAAATGCTGTGTGAATCCCTAAGAAAAGGACTCAGTGTAGATGTTCATCAGCTAATGAATGGACAGTGAAAATGTGATACACATACAATGGAATTTTATTCAGCTATAAAAGTGAAATTAGCAGGGAAAAAATGGACTGGACTGGAAAGCATTCCACTGGATGAGGTAACCCAGGCCAGAGGGAGAAGGCAGGAGGCCTTAAGGGAAGAGGGCAGGGTAGACCAATGAAGGTGGGGTGGTCAGCAGGAATACTGGGAGTTAATGACGTAAGCAGAGTGGTGGCAGGGGTAAGGGGAGAGGAGAGGATAGCGGAAGAGTAGCCAATACTAAGGATGTATGAAAAGCCCCTGGGAAAGTCTACTACTTCATGAGTAATTAAAAAGCTACATAAAGAACTATTGGGTGAGAAGGCACACATAAGCATGTGTCCCAAAAGTCGTTCTTTTTGACCTCTTGTGCAGTGGAATCTAGGACCAGGCCGGAGATACTCTAGTATTTTCCATTAGTGGACAAATTCAGTCCCATGCACCATTCTTGGTCATCAGCTTACCTGTGGTCTGCTATGTGGCTAGTATTTCCCACTTAAAGGTAGGCAACTAAAGTTTGGTAAGAACCCTTTCTAATGTCACTCAACAAAAAGTGACAAAGAACTAAGCCCAGACAGATGGCAATTATGTGCAATTAAAATAAAACTCCAAGCAACACATTGCCTTTGCTAAGTCTTTATTACAGCTGGAAATGGATTTTGTCCTCACAGCCAGTATTAGTAAGCCCTCCATCCCTACCCCTTCCCAAGCTCCAGTGTAAAAGCATCCTATCTGGCTCCCTCTACTGCTGCGAAGTTTGTATCCAAACTGTTCAGATCTTAGCAAACTTCAAGTGGGAAGTGAGAAGCCCGAAGCCTGTGCTTGCGCCCCCTGGTGACAGAAGCAAAAACTAGGGATTGGCCTTCCTACCCTGGTAGTTTTCATTTGTCCAAGTCTCCAGGACTGAGGGAAGCCCAGAGCTTCCAAGGTCAGGTCCAGGCTGGGGGTCACCAGGAGATTGCATTGAATTTTGATCTATGTTCTTTTTAGTGTTACCCAAGTTGACATGGGCCCATTCTCCCAAATAATGAAGATTGAAAAAGATAAAATAATTTTTAATTGTGGTCCATCACCAGAAGTGTGATTGACAAGTCTCTCCCCTCTGAATCCATCTTTTCAGTGGTCTTCAGTCAGATGGGACATGTGTGAATGTGTGTGTTGTGTGTTTACACGTGCTAGTGCTTGTGTAAGGTCCTCTCTTTCTACCATGTGGGTTTTGGGGATCAAGCTCAGGTAGTCAGATATAGTAACAAGTGCCTTTACCCTGTGAACCATATTGCCAGGCTCCCCTCAGTTCTTTTCAATTGTACAACTCAGTGCCATTTTAAGTACATGCACGGTTATGCAATGAGTCTCTAGAACTTTCTCTAACAAAGTCACTCTGTTACTAAATTCTGACTGCATGCCTAGCACTGTGCTATCCTTGACCAAAGAAAAGGGCGTAACTGACAATTGAAACCTTAGGAAAGCCTTGGATTTCTCCAGAATGCCCACCATGGACTGGAGGCTGGTGTGTAAAGACTATGAGGGCGTAAAATGGGTGACGGCTGCCACATGGTGGCAGCAAGGAGTCACAATCTATAAAACATGCTTCATGCAGCCTCCATACAAGTCAGGAGCTGGAAATGAGCCTTGGCCATTAGTATTTCAGAACAGCAGGGCTCGTGGGTAGATGTGACCATTTGGTGTTTAGATGGATTGGCATTCATCAAACTTGTAATCATTTGGTTTAGGTCTTTATGGCTGCTCACGCTCATTCATTCATCAAGGGAAGAGACGAACCTGGAAGGCACCCCTGGGCCCCACACAGGCAACAAGCCAGCTGTTTACTCTCTTTGGAACACGGTAGTTAAACATTCCATCTCTTTCTTATTTGCCCTTTCAGTAACAACTAATATTTTGTGGCCCTGGGATTGAGCCTGGCTCTTGTACTTGACAGACAAGTGCTCTCATGCTGAAGCACACGGTGAGAATCATAGTTGTGAAGATCTGAGTCCTCTTTGTATTCTTCTGGAGAGAATTCTGTGTCCCTTGCTTGCACTTAACTCTCAAAGTTAGTCAAACACCTTTGTATTATTGGTCAACATTATTACGGCCTTGGGGGCCACAAGAAAAATGTGAAATCTGATGAAAGATTTTTTTTGCTTTTCTTTTACCTACTTTTCATTTTTATTTTCTATTTTTATTTTTCTCAGACAGGATGTCCCATAACCCAAGTTGTCCTTGGACTTCTGGTTACCCTACCTCTGCTGGATTACAGGTGTGTGTCATTATGCCTGGCTTGATTTTCAATTTTTATGTTAATTTTATCACATTATTTTATACATTTTTGTACCACTCACCTCCTTTCTTTTGATAAGGGGATAGGTTTTAAGGAACCAGTACAGGTTGCCACACACTATAGATGCTTCTGGGGATGGGGCGCTCCAAAGGGCTAACCAAAGCATCATGTCTATTAGAGTCTAGCTGCTTGAACCATCATGACCTTTAGGCTGTCTTTTTTTCTGGAAGTTTGAGGACCAGAAGCTGAAGGTCTATGGGCAGGTGGGCCCTTCCTGCTGTACCAATAGTGTTCCCGTGGCCACAGTTTTGGGAAAGAGCACTCGTGAGATGAGGCTGCCAACCGTTCTCATTGCCCTGCAGTGAATTACGAGGATCTCTATGGAGCCCATGGTTCTGCTCCTCTTGGGGAGGGGTACATAGGACTGGATAATAAGGAGGCACCCTGGCCCAACACAGTTGTGTAGATGGCAGCTTCATCCTGAACACGAGTGGGATGACACATGGCAAAAGTAATGCTGCCAGGTGTGTGGGAGCTGAGGGTCAGGGCCTGTGTCCAGGCAGGGATGGAACGTGAGAGCAGTTTACGACCTTGAGCATTCAGAAGCACTCTGAAGGGTTAGCATTTCAGGAATCTGGTTGTATTCATGACTTCTCATTGTAACTGCAGCCCAGCCAAATTCCTGTACTTCCCAAATGAGAAGCAGTTCAGTGCAACCAAAAGTGGGCTGAATCAAGATAGACTGGATAGTGTGTGTGTGTGTGTGTTCCCAAATAAGTAAATACACTTGTTCATTATGTATATTACTTGTATTTATATGTTTTTGAAGACTGACCATTTGGTGCTGGTGTGCTCTTCCCTGGGGAAATAAAAAACAATAACAATGATGATGATGATGATAACAAGAAGAAAAAAATGAAGATGAGGTGAGTTCAGATTCAGGACAAACTAGTGTCATACTTGTGTGATCTTGGAAAAAATTCATCATTTGAAGAAATCAGATTTTGTTTTGATGACTAAGTAGTTTAATATATGCAAAACAGTTAAAAGACTGATTGAATCATGGCAGCCATTGTTTCTGTACTCAGATAATGTCATTTCCTTGGGCCTGTGAACTTGTATGGAACAGTTGAATCTACTTTATTATTTTTGTTTACGTTTAATTGAATTTTATGTATGTGCTGTCTAACTGTGTACCATGTTTGTGAAGTGCATATAGAAGCCAGAAGAGAGCATCAGATTCCCTGGAACTGAAGTTACAGATGGTTGTGAGCTACCATATGGACGCTAGAAATTAAGCCCAGGACCTCTGGAAGAGCAGCTGGTGATCTTAACCATTGAGCCATCTCTCCAGCCCCAAGAAGGAATTTATGATTTAAGACAAGAAAGAAAGACCAGGAAGTGCTGTTCACTGCAGTGCTTCTTTAAAAAGTACATCTGGAACCCTACCAATACACATCAGATCAGTCAGTGTGCTCCCAGTCTGCTACCCACAGTCTCTCTTAGTGAGCTCTTGGACCTTGAAGACAGATTGGGAACTTTAAATCATTCACAGAGCCTTTTAATTGGAGCCATGAAGCATAGGTCATATACCTTTGGATTGAGGAAGTACATAGAATTTTTCCTTTATGCAACAGGACATTATGTTGTTACAGAAGCCGACCCAATTCCATCCTGGTCTACAACCAAAGAAACAAAGCCCTTTGAGTGAAGCACATGTTCGAAAGTCTACACCGTTATTCCCGACCGCACAGTTAGCTGAAGGAATAGAGAAAACGACAAATCAGTGTTTGGGAGGCTAGGAGCAAAGTCAGTCTTGTTTTCTCTTGCTGGTGGAGGGTTTGGTATCTGTTGATTCCCCTGCTGGGACTCATTCCCTTACTTCCCATCAGATCTCAGTGAGACTGTAGAGTCTAGGTCCAAGCAGAGCTGGGCGTGATGGCCCACACCTCTAATCCCAGCACTCCAGAGGCAGAGGCAGGTGGATCTCTGGGAGATCAAGGCCAGCCTGATCTACACAGATCGAGTTCCAAAATAACCAGGGCTACATAGAGAGATCCTGCATCAACAAGAAAACAAACAAGCAAACAAAAACACGATTTAGAGGAAACAGGAATTTACTGGCTGAATAAGGATGCACTCATCATGAAATGGGCTCCCCTCTTTAAAGATCCTGGGGGTCTTTCAGGAGATAGTGAAAGATAACCAGTATAGAGAATGATACTCTAATACCCCTTACCCTAGCCCTAACCCACTGGCTCATCTCCTATGGGTGGAACTTCCCATGCTGGGGTTATATTGTTTGTCTATTTACTTATTTTAGTTTTTGGATCTGAGTCCTTAGGAGATCTTTTCATATCCAGACACACAGTTCACCTCCTACCTGCAGGCAAAGAGATCACCAGGAAGAACAGTATGCCTGAAGGATGTAGGAGCATGGTCGTGGAGGGTGCAGAGCCAAAACTGCCCAGATAACTGTCTGGGAGTCTCCTGTATAGAGATGTTCTGGGTCAGGTGAGGCTGGATTCTGGGTCACTCTTCCAGGGAGATCACAGCTTCTATAGAGTTTAGAAAAGGACACCTGTGCCATTCAACACTACATTCATTTCTACAAACCATATGATATGAAGGTACTCAACTAAGGGCAGAGTGTCTCTACCAGCAGAGCAGGACATCCCCCACCCCCACATCAGACCTAAGTACCTTCCTTTCCACCTGTTGAAAATTCAGGAGAAAATGTCTACATCATTTACCTTCAAGTCACATTGAAAGCCCAGGGTCCCACAAACACTATTACAGAGCACAGGCGATTCAAGACTGGCCAGGATACAAGTAATGAGTGCTCACAGGGTTCCAAGAAACAGAAGGGTCTTAACATGGCAACAGGACTTGACTAAGAGCAGAGGGACTGATTGATTACTCAGGGAGTAAAGAAGGGAAGTGTCCTCACTTACTCACCTGGCCAGGAGAAAAGACCCCAGATGTGCTTCCTTTCCAAATGATTGGCTTGAGGTACCGGTCACAGTGTGAGGACCTCAGGGGTCAGGGAGAAACTCCCATTTTGGAGTGGTTGAGTCAGAACTCTTGCTGCTTTCTCACGGGAGGACCAGTTCTGTGCTGTGTTCAAGGTTGGATGCCTAGACTCAGAAGTGAACTGAACCATACTTCCCTGGAGCTAAAGCGTGGCCCTTGAAAGGAGCGGTTAGGCTTGAACTGCTTGGGGCCAGTGATGAATGGTTGACAATACCTTTGATTTTATTCTTCCCTTTGAGGAAGGCTTGTGACCAAGCGGCCCACACACTGCAATTTGTAAGATGCTAGCTAGCAGAGCGTAGTCTTATAGGTCATGCTCCACTTTGAAGACACACTTTCTTGAAGACTTTGTTTAGCACATCAACTCCAGTTTTATCTTCTCCAAAACCACATGCGTTGTGGGAAGTTCATGTTTTGAGGATATGAGAATAAAACGAAAACTGTATTCATGCTGGTATACTTTACCTAAAAAAATATTGTGTGTGTGTGTGTGTGTGTATGTGTGTGTGTGCGCGTGCGCGTGTGCACGCGCGCGTGTATGCATGCAGCTTGCATGTATGCATGTGGGGGTCAATGAACATCTTTGTGGGGCTGTCTCCTTCTACTTTTATTTGAGTTCTAGGACTCAAACTCTAGTTGTGAGGCTTGTACTGTTAGTATTTTCCCAACTCAGCCATCCTTCTGGCACTCATTGCTATACTGGAAGTACTCATTATTATTATTATTATTATTATTATTATTATTATTATTGGTTTTACGAGACAGGGTTTCTCTGTATTGTTTTGGAGGCTGTCGGTCCAGCCTGGCCTCGAACTCACAGAGATCCGGCTGCCTCTGCCTCCCGAGTGCTGGGATTAAAGGCGTGCGCCACCACAGCCCGGCTACTCATTATTATTATTAAATAATCCACCATAGTAGCTGTCTTCCTTTCTCCTTCAGAGACCTCCAAAGGCCTTCTTGGAGCAAAATTACAACGAAGAAGTAGCAATGAAAATAATTTTATGGTTGGGGGTGAGCACGACATGAGGAACTGTATTAAAGGGTCATTTTGTAGGACTGCTCTAGGGCTCGAGTCCCACAGAGTACCAGGTGGGGGGTGTCTGTAAGTAAGAGGAAACATGACTTCCTTCATTGCTACTTGCTTCTTTATAACATCATTTTTAACTCACAGGAACTGAAGACCTTAGCATAGCCTTTCCTCTGGTTATGATGAAGCTGAACATATGTCCTGCCTCTAGGCTTATCCAGAATATTACATTCTCTAGCTATGTTCCTGTACATCTGTGTATTAGGATAAGCTTTGGAGTTGCACAGAAGCTAAGGTTACAGGCACAAGATCCGCACAAGATAAAGCCTGTCAGAAGTCTCACATAGAGGGAAGAGGGGCTCTTAAAGCTCCACCCCAGCAAGGGAACTATTAGTGGTTACTGCTGTGGGGAAGGAGAGTCAGTTTTCTCTGAGGTGACCCCTGTCAGGATAGCCCTCCACCCATGTACATGCTGCAGCACTAAATAAACTCAGTAGGTTAAAAAAGAGAGTGCCTGAAGTTAAGAGAAAAATATGGTAGTGTTGTTCTGGTGGGACGTGTAGAAGATGGAGTAAGGGGTGCATTTGGACATGCATGAAATTCTCAAAGAATAAATCAAAATATATTTTCAAAAGGCTTGGTTGAGAGTACAGTTTCAGGATCCTTGATGAGAGGTGACTTCAGACCAAACACCCAAGCTGAAGAATCTGGCTGACCACACTAAATATGACTCAGACACAAGGCATCCATCAATCAATCATCAATCAATCACTTCTTGTATCTGGACAAGTTCAGTAAAGGTTGTAAGATCTGGTTGTCCCAAGTGATCAGAAAACATAGCTGCCTTAAGGAACTGTGTAATCAGGCGAAACCATTATTTCCTTTGATAAGAGAAGAAAGCTCCTGGCACTTGCTTTCAGGGATTGATGTCCTCACATCCTGGGATAGCTGCCCAGAAGTCCCCAGGGCTCATTGCTGCTTTGCTTGGCTCCTGCCAGTTGTCCACAGGGCACTATACCCTGAATTTTTTTAAACATATTCCTGGTTCTCAGAGTTCCTAGCACAAGTGTATCAAGCAAAGCTATGCTTATTCCTTGGGTTTCTGGGAATGATGAGGGCCTGCAGAGAAGAGCAGCTCCACAGCGCATGACACGAATCTGGCTTGAGTTGTCAGCCTTCCTTATACGACTGCATGAACCCCTGGCCCATTCTTCTCAGACTCGGTTTCTGCAGTAAATGAGACACAGAGACAATGTGGAAAAACTTAAAAGGATGAGGTTCATTATGGATGTGTGAGAAGGAAAAGCCAGTAGAGCAGATGAAAGAGAGTGTTCTAGAGAGTGGGAGATTCAGTTCAGTTCAGTGCGGTTGTGTTTGGGCCACTCTATGGTTCATTACCTGCATTTCCAGAGATGTAAAAACATTCCCTTCCAGTAACATGACTGGAGGAGACTTACAAAGTTATCCTTTTATTTATTTGTGAGTGTGTTTGTGTGTGTGTGTGTGCGTGCGTGTACACATGCTCTCATGCACATGCTTGGGTACAGTAGCCCACTTGCACATGCCACAATGTCATGTGGAGGTCAAAGAACCATTTTCAAAAGTCAGCTAGCTCATTCTACCAATGTGGGTTCTTGAGATCAAACTCACATCACCTGGCTTGACAGCAAGCACTTTTATCCACTGAGCCATCCTGCTGTTCCCAAGGCTATAACTTTAATGTAGTTAGATAAGACCTATGATAATTTTTTATGAAATATCATAGGGCAACATATTACATTTAGGAAGAAGGGGGGATTTCTGAAGCCCAGAGCAAAATCTATAAGAGTAAGTAGAAGGGAATATTCTAGAAAGTCCAGGAAGGGGTGACCCCAAGAATACTCAACAAATTCACCCGAACACAGCACAAGAGTATTGGGTATGAACATGCATTTATTTGTATATGGAATATTGTTACAGGTGAGGCTGCTGAGACCAATAGAGCCAAGTATAGTAGACTACAGTGAAATTTCCACAGATGTAGACAGAGTGCATTCTGGGAGAAGTGGAGAGGTTTGTTTCTGGTCTGTTTATGTCTCCTGAGCACTTCTATGCAGGATGTGCTTAGGGAGAGGCTGGAATTTACAGAACTAGAGGGTTTTTCAGAAGTCCATAGGATTTCAGGGCAACACATCTGTAGGGTCTTTTTACATAGAAGGGCTCCGGTCCTATGGAACTGTTTATAAGAACAGTGGTAACACCCAAGTTAAGGCATGTAGAGATGGCTCTAGATACCAACATCTGGAGAAAAGTGTCTGGGTTCTGAGGGACATGTTATGTTATTTGCCTTAATCCAGAGTCTGACTTTTCATTTTTTTAGCTTCCTTAAAGCACGTCAAGGATTATATTAGCATAATCCATCTCTATAGGATTGGTTTATAAAATTACCATACCAACTTCCGTTGAGAAAGATTCATCGAAGGATTTATGTATTCTTCTGTTATCTGGTTGTAGAAGGTGACTATGTAACAGCTCTTGGCAGATAGAAACATGGAGATTTTTGTGCACATAATTTTACTGGCAAAGGTGTAGAGGATGCTTTAAAAAAAAAAGACCAGCATAGCCTTTATTTACTTCCCTCCTTCTCCCTAAAGAGTCCCCCTTTTCCATTTCTCTTGATTGGATCACTTGTACCCTGCTATTCCCCTCTCCATTGCTTCCCAACCCACTTTCCTGGCAATGGTCCTCAAAACTGATACAGTCCTGAAGCGTGCATCTCTTACCCTGATCTTTGTAGTGGTCTAGTTAATTCTGAGGATTATCTGGTGGCCAGAGTGCATTTTCACACCCTGTATTGTCTTCAAGACAGGAGGGCTCCTCACTGGCTCTAATAGTTTGCTAATCACAAAGTGCTGTGGAATACGGATGGTTTGCCCAGGATGTTTTCTCAGTTCATATGGCAGTCGTTTCAACTTCCTTCTAAGTCTCCTTCAAGTGAGAGACAGAGATAAGACTCCTGTTTACAGCACTCTCATTTGGGGCATTTCCATGATTTGTTCCATGCTAGATCCCAATGATGCTCTAAGCAAATTATTATACACAGCAGGAAGTCAGTGCAGCTAAATGAATATAGGAAAAAAGAAGGAAATCTGATCCAAGAACTTTATGAATTTTGGAGAAAACCATTACATTTTGTTAATTATTTTCTGAATACTTTGTAGTTCCTTTTTTCCTTCTTTATGGCCTCCCTTTGTGGTCTGTTGATTTGTTTTTTAATATTTATTTATTTGCTTGTTGTTGGTAGTGGTAGTATGTCTTGATTTCTTTCTGCTTGTGTTTTCTGTTTGTCCCAGACACCTAATCTTTGTGGTTATGATGAAACTTATTTAAAGCATCTTCTATGTAACATCTTCTTATAGAAGAATAGCAACTTCCCAGTTTGAGGAGGTGGAG